CCCGCCAAAAATAAAAAACACTTTCTATCATCGCCGTGACTTCTTATTCAAACCAAGACAACAAACGCACTCATACGCGGGAGGAGAGATTCAGGGGAAGTCGGCGTAGGGCAATTTAAACGGGTAGAGCGGCGTGTAGCGCCGGTCGTGCCACAGCAGCTTGTCTTCCAGGAAGCGCAGCGTCTCCAGCGTGAGCACCAACCCTTGGTGCTTCAGAAGGCTGTGCACGTTCAGACCTGAGCGGCCGCAAACACAGGAACAGGAACGACATCAACGGCTTCCCGCGAAGTGAGACACACGGGAACAGGAGCAGGCGCGAGCTCTCACCCACGGCTGGAATGAGGTTGACGGTCTTGAGGGGGGCCGTGGCCTTCAGGATGTTGTCGCCAAAGTTGTCCCCTCTGAAGAAAGACACGCAGGAACGACAAGCGACAGGAACGATCGACAATGAGAGGTCGAGAACGTTCTCAACAACACAACTCACACGTCAACGACGAGCAGCGACTCCTCCCAGTCTTTGAGTCTGAGGTCATCAAGCAGGTCCCGCGAGTCCGGACTCGGGATGTCGAGGGACTCCACGACATGAAGAGAACCCTGGAGAGGCGGAGGGAAGGACGCCGGCCCACAAGTCGGCTTGAATTCGGAGCGTTCCTCATCAGCCACGACAGCCGCTGTCCTACCTGGGCCACCTTGGAGCTCAGGGCCACCTTGAGCCCCAGGACGCGCACCTTCATGGGCAGCATGTAGTAGTAACTGGTGGGGCCCCGGGGGCCGTGGGACACGCCCCCTGGCGGCATCACGCCACGTTAGGACCTCGACGTCGGACAAAAATATGTAGGCGCCGGAATATGACCTCACCTCCCCTCCAAAGGGGCGAGCGTATGCTGCCGTGGCGAGCGCGGCCCCCGCCCTTCTGCTTCCAGGGTTTGCGACCGCCGCCCCGTACCTCCGATCTCACCTTGGTGTTGGCGTGACTCTGTCTCACACGCACACTTGTGCTCAGTGCAGGAACAGGATGGGGGAGGCATAATCACGCAATGACGGGGAACGACACCACAAAGCGCAGGAATAGGAAGCTCGGGGGAAAACGGCAACGGGACATGAGCATGAGCTGAGGCCACGCCGGAACAGGGACGGACGAACCCATGCAGGAGCAGGAAGCTCGGGGGAAAACGGCAACGGGACATGAGCATGAGCTGAGGCCACGCCGGAACAGGGACGAACCCACGCAGGAGCAGGAAGCTCGGTGGAACAAACAGAAAATGTCACAATAGGCACGAACAGGAAGGGAGAGCCAGGACTACCCGGGAACAGCAGTTCGGTGAAAATGTAAAAAAAAAAAAAACAGCAATGGGAAGTAGCAGCCTGCGACCTTCACAGGAAGAGGAAACAACGTGGGACTGACTACACAGGAACAGAAAGTTAGCCAAGCCAAAGCAAAATCAAGACGCGAGCTAGGCGGCGCCGATACGGAGAGTTAGCCGAAGCCATGCAGTGAGCGAGGACTGCGCAGGAACATGAAATGAGCTCAGGCCACGCAGGAACAGGGTGGCGAGGCGCCAGCTTACGATGCGTTTGTAGTTCCTCTGCCACACTTCCACGCTGTGCAGGATGTCCAGCCTTTGCCGGAAAAACAAAGACGTTCACGTCAAACGCGCGTTTTGGCGTTTCGGCGCAACGGCGACCAACCTCGGGGGGACGGCAAAGACGTCGGGATGCAGTTCGGCCAGGCCCGGCGGGTCACCGCCGGGGCCCTCCAGAGCGTCCACCCATAGCCGCACGGCGCTTCGGTGGGAGGGAATGTCGGCGGTGCAAAAACGCAGGACGGGCAGCGGGCAATCAGGAGGGGGAGGCGGGCGCCCTGAGCCACAAAACAACATGGGGCTCACGAGACAAACGTCGAGTCTGCGTTCGGGTTCGGACTCACCGGTTCTCGGCGTATCTCGCAGGTTGGCGGGCAGGAGCAAGTTGGGCGGAAGAACGTTTTCACCAGCCAGAGAGGACGTGCACTAGAAACAACAGCACGCAGCTTACGCTCGAGCTTACGCGATACAAGGATAGACTTTGACGATTTGATTGAAAACGTTCATCGGGGGCGACATGATCCTCTGTCCTTGGAGTGACTTTGCATCTTCACGACTCGCTGGACTGCTGAAGGTTGGTTGGTTCGCAGCCCTTTTGCGCTCGTCTTATGATGAAATGTCAAAATGAAGTGACAATGATAGTAAACTCTTTTGACAGAACCGATTCGTTGTTTTGAGCCTCTGTCCAAAGTCTTCGGATCATAGATTCTGTCCTAATGGCTTATATGAACGCTTGTGAAGTTTGTCATCAGTGTGTTGCTGCTCGTAGCAAATCGATTTACTCGTTTGGCGACTCGGAATATCTCTCTTTCTGTATATGGAGACCTCTCTCTGTAATATTAACTCTTCTTTCTCTCTCCACGGACGTCGTCGGGCTAAACACGTTTTGTCCAGGTAAACAGATCGACGACACTCACTCGTTTTGCGGCTCCTCTCCCGCAAAACAGCAGAGAATAACGTAAAAACATGTTCGCGGGTGTTTGAGGCGATAAGAAACCGAAGCAGAGCGTCCGGCTCCCACCAAAAGCCCGCGAGGAGGTCGAAGCCGCTTCGCTCAGTCGGCCAAATGGAGCGCTTTTGTTCACCGCTAAGTCGGTCGCGCTTTGATGGCGTCACAAGCGCCATCTCGCGAGAGCTGATGGGGAAGGAAAAAAAAACGTGAACACAACTTCAGACTGCTTAACGGACGGGTTTTATTTCGCTTCGTGATTTCATTTTGTTGATTGGTTAACACTCTTCAATCAAGCAAAAGCGACTGTCCCTCGTGGATGGATGAAGTATATATTTCTATCTAACTTAAAAAAAAATACTAAGGTCCAAATCGAATGCCTGAGGCCAACAAATGCGTTTGAGTAAAAAAATACGAAGGTTCAAATCGAATGCCTGAGGCCAACAAATGCGTTTGAGCTGTTTTCCTCCCCCCTTTTTTTTAAATCTCGATTTTTAATCTGAAAAATTATAGTAGCTTCAAAATCTGTGGCAAAAAAAAAAATCACATTTTGAGGTGTACTTTTTATTGGACACCAGCGTGTATGTTTTCATTTGATCATTCTTTATACAGTAGCAGAGAAGGAAGGGAAAGTACCTTGAAACTGCATATTTCCATGTCATTTTAATGAGCCACATCACATTTACAACTACAACATTGATAAATATACGTGTTTTATACACACACACACACCAACACACACACACACACCACTGATCATAGAAAAAGAGAAACATTGTTTTTCTTTTCCATTCAGTGCCATTTAAATACTTCAACTGAGTCAGTGTTTAGGTACATGACATATACTGTATGTGTAAGTACAAGCAGGGTGCAGAAGTAAATTCAGAGGGGGGGGAGGGGGGAAGATGTCAGCAGAATATGAGGAAAACAGAAAAAAAAAAAATCTTTCTTTATACAGCAAACAAGTCGTATTGCACAGTGCCAAAACCCAACTAGAATGCACAAGTAGCCTGCAGTGTAACATTTGGTTGAGTTTTTTTGTTTTGTTTGGTTTTGTTCCTCGTTGCGCATGAACAGTTAAGATTAAACGAGGTTGGAGAACAGGAACGTGGAGCCTTTGAGCTCGTCTTGATCGGGAACTTCCAGGTTGACATCGCCGGAGACAAAGTTAAGGCCCCCCAGCGTGCCGTGTTTTTGCTTTGGCTCATTCTCGCTTTCTCCCTGCCTGGGGAAAACGGTCACCAAGTATCCGTCCGACGTATCGGGAGCTCTTTTCTGGGAATATGACCAGCGGCCGTCGTTTAAAGTGTGAGCGGCCTTCTCGGCATGGCTCAGATACAAGATGGCGTCCGCGTTCAGCGGGGTGCCGCTGAGTCGGGGGCCCCTCAGCTGACCAGTCACATCCCTGGAGGTCGAGGGCAGCTGGAGGTCCAGGTCGGACCCTCTGCTTCTGGGGATGTGGTACTTCCCGGTGAAGTCGTCAATGTTGAGGTCCGAACGTGTGAAATCCACGTAGCGGCCCAAGTCGGCGTCCAGCGAGGCCACGGACCTTCCCTCAAAGCGAGAATGAGTCAAGTCCTGGTCCAAGTCGAGCCCGGGCAGCGGCACGCCGGAGCCGCCGTGCAATGACTTCCTGAATTTGAGCGTCGAGCCGTCCACCTCCAGATCGGGAGTTCTGAGCTTGGCGTTGGGTCCTGACACACTCACATCTGGTCCGTCGAGGTCGATGGCATCCGTGTCTAAATACGGCATGGTTGGCTTCAAGTTTGGACCTCTCACGTCGGGAAAACGGAGGTCTGGACCCTGCGCCCCGCCATTCAGGTCCGTGTCATACCCTGCGGACACCTTCATCTGAGGCTTCCTGTATTTTATGTCTGAGGTGTTCCAGTCCATCGTCGGGGCTTTGAGGTCCATGTTTGGCACGCCTGCTTTCGGGGTGTCCCAAGATCCTTTGACTTTTGGCGCTCTGACATTTACTTCGGCGTTGGGTCCTTTGAGCTTGCCGTGATATTTGGGGGATTTGACGTTGGGTCCGGACAACTCCACATCCGGCACCTTCAAATGCGGCTTCCTGTATTTGCCCGACGGTCTTCCGAAATCCACGTCTGGCGCACCGATATCAAAATCTGGACCATCGATGTCTGGTCCGTTCAGGGTTGGCAGATTGACTTTGGGAAGTTTGACTCTGGGCATTTTCATTTTTGCTTTGGGTGAGCCCATGTTGATATCGGGACTGTTGACGTCGAGTCCGCCTTTGAGTTTTGGTGCTTTCAGGTTTAAGTCTGGAGTCTTGACGTCCAAGTCTGGAGCACTGAGGTCCATCTTTGGCGCCTTGAGGTCGAGTTTGGGGCTCTTCACGTCCAGCTTTGGCATATTCAAGTTTGGCTTCTTGAGTTTCCCACCAATGTCTAGATCCAAATTCGGTTTAGAACCTTTGAGGTTGACCGTGGGAGCGTTGATGTCCAGATCCGGAGCATCAAGATCGACATCCAGGTCTGGACCTTTAAGGCTCGGACGCCTCAATTTGGGTATCCTCAGCTTGCGAAACTTAAATTTAGTTTTCGGGGATCCAATGTTGATGTCTGGAGTTTTTACATCTAACTTTGGAGCTTTAAGGTCCGCGTTGGGTAAATCCAAATCTGGGCCGTCAAAGCCACCTTTTATCTTTGGAGCTTTCAGATTAAAATCTGGACCATCCAGATCTGGCAAGTCCAAATGTGGCCCTTTGAGGTCTAGTCTGGGACTTTTGAAATCAAATTTTGGCATTTTCAGATCGGGGGCGTTTATCCCACCGCGGAGATTAGGACCGCTGAGGTCCAGGTTGGGGGAGTTAAGATCCAGGTTGGGACCATCTATCTTTGGACCATCGAGGTCCAAATCTGGCATGTTCAAGTTTGGCTTTTTGAACTTTCCATCAATGTCAACATTTGGCATCCCTAAGTCAGCGTTGGGACCTTTGAGTTTTAACGTGGGCGCGTTGGCGTTCATGTCCAGACCATCGATGTCTGCATCGAGGTCAGGACCTTTTAGGCTCGGACGATGGAATTTAGGCATCTTTAATTTGGGCTTCTTCAATTTTGCCTTTGGTGAACCCATATTGATGTCAGGGGTTTTCAGATCTAATTTTCCACCTTTAAGATCTGCATTAGGCAAGTCCCAGTCGGGGCCATTCAGGCCACCTTTTATCTTTGGAGCTTTCAGGTTGAGGTCTGGACCATGAAGATCAGGCAAATCCAAGTTTGGGCTTTTGACGTCCAGTGTGGGTGTCTTAAGATCAAGCGTAGGCATTTTCAGATCCGGTGCATTTATTCCACCGTGGAGTTTCGGACCGCTGAGGTCCAGGTTAGGAGACTTAAGGCCTAGGTCGGGACCATCGAGGTCCAAATCTGGCATGTTCAAGTTTGGCTTTTTGAACTTTCCATCAATGTCAACTTTTGGCATCCCTAAGTCAGCGTTGGGACCTTTGAGTTTTAACGCGGGTGCGTTGATGTCCATGTCCAGACCATCGACGTCAGCATCGAGGTCAGGACCTTTTAGGCTGGGCCGCTTGAATTTTGGCATCTTTAATTTGGGCTTCTTCAATTTTGCCTTTGGTGAACCCATATTGATGTCAGGAGTTTTCAGATCTAACTTGCCACCTTTAATATCTGCATTAGGCAAGTCCCAGCCTGGGCCATTCAGGCCACCTTTTATCTTTGGAGCTTTCAGGTTGAGGTCTGGACCCTGAAGATCAGGCAAATCCAAGTTTGGGCTTTTGACGTCCAGTGTGGGGGTCTTAAGATCAAGCGTAGGCATTTTCAGATCCGGTGCATTTATTCCACCGTGGAGTTTCGGACCGCTGAGGTCCAGGTTAGGAGTCTTAAGGTCTAGGTCGGGACCATCCAGATCAAAATCTGGCATGTTCAAGTTTGGCTTTTTGAACTTTCCATCAATATCAACTTTTGGCATCCCCAAGTCAGCTTTGGGACCTTTGAGTTTTAACGTGGGTGCATTGGCGTCCATGTCCAGACCATCAACGTCGGCATCGAGGTCAGGACCTTTAAGGCTTGGACGCTTGAATTTTGGCATCTTCAGTTTTGGAAACTTAAATTTGGTCTTTGGTGAGCCAATGTTAATGTCCGGAGTTTTCATATCTAACTTGGGCGTTGTCAGGTCCGCTTTGGGCAAGTCCACGTCAGGGCCATGGATTCCACCTTTTAACTTGGGAGCTTTCACATTCATGTCTGGGGCATGAATATCTGGCAGATCCAAATTTGGGCCTTTGAAGTCCAGTGTGGGGGACTTGAGACCGAGCTTAGGCATCTTAAGATCTGGTGCATTTAACCCACCGTGGAGGTCCAGCTCAGGAGACTTGAGGTCTGGGTTTGGGCCAACGACATGATACATGGGCATCCCCAAGTCAGCTTTGGGACCTTTGAGTTTTAATTTGGGTGCCTTGATGTCCATGTCCAGACCATCCAAGTCCGCATCAACGGCGGGACCTTGCAGGCTTGGACGGCCAAATTTGGGAATCTTGGTTTTGGGCAAGTTTACTTTGGCATTTGGTAGGTTCAAATCTAACTTGGGAGCTTTAAGGTCTGCGTCCCAGTCGGGGCCATCAAGACCACCTTTGAACTTGGGAGCTTTCAGGTTCAGGTCGGGGCCATTCAGATCGGGCGTGTTCAGTTTACCTGATGGCATGTCCAAATATGGGCTTTTGAGGTCAAGTTTGGGGCCCTTGAGACCGAGTCTGGGCATTTCCAGATCAGGTGCACCGACTCCACCTCGGAGATCTGCACCACTGATGTCCAAGTCAGGA